GCTGTCTCTTCAAAACGAGGACCCAACACCACAGGATGGTTGGGAAAAACAATGAAAATCAAAGATTTTGGCCTCTTGGGGCCCTCTTCGGAGGCCTCTTGGAAGGCCCTTGGGGCGTCTTGGAGGCCTCTTGGGCTGTCTTGGGGCCCTGTTGGGCGTCTTCGGGCGATCTTTGGCCGTCTCGGGGCCCTCTTGGACCGTCTTGGATGCTTCTTGGGGACCTCTTGGCCCGTCCTGGGGCCCTGTAACAGGGCTCCGGCATCTCTGGCCCGGCCGCCCCGCGCGCGCGAACTAGAAATACTGTTAACCAGGTACCGGAGATCTTAGCACGCCCTGGCCCGTTGGGCCTTGCCATTGCTTCTTATTGTTCCCTTGCGAACCAACGCATGCCTGTACCGATCAATATGGGCCGACGAAATCGGCAGGTGACGCCTGCCTGCAGTCAGCGCAGCGATTTCCGCTCATTCATGCTCACGAGCTCGTCGTTCGTGCTCTCTTTCCATTTTGCCTTGCAGTCAGCGCAGCGATTTCCGCTCATTCATGCTCACGAGCTCGTCGTTCGTGCTCTCTTTCCATTTTGCCTTCCATTCTTGATGGGCCCCTTGTCCACCACCATCACCATACGTAACGAGGACGGGGGAGAAGGGATGATGGGGAGGTCCTCCTCCTCCTCCTCCTACTCCTCCTCCCTCTTCTACATATGGTACTGGTGGTGGAACACCGGCCCATCAATACTCTCTTTGCCAGTACTTCTGATATTCAGTTGCGGGGAGTCTTCGGCGGATAATTCGGTATGCCGCTCGCGCGCGGGCGTGTCGGGAAGGCAGGAGAAGCGGCGTTTCGGATCCATCGCGTTGTGCACGTGGGGGCGCGCAGGACGGACAATTGTCGATTAGTGTTCAAACGTTGTGATGCTCATGACGCGCGTCTGGTTCGTAATCGTCTCTCCGATGCTGCACACTGAAGGATCTAGCGACATATTGCTAGAACCTAAGGCTGAGCGGAGCGCGCGTGTGGTTCTAGCTGCTCTGGGGGCCCCTTTCCCAAGCGCACCTTTCCGTAATAAGGATGGACAATTTTTCCTAGATAGCGGTTTGCCTTTTCCTGTATGCGTATACTTATATGGGCATCGTCCATTCAAGATCCCCCCACGCAGTTTTCTTACTGCCGACGTGTTCGTGCGGTTCCCCGAAAGACACGTCCGTTTCGACTCCCATCAATCTGGAGTAGACCGCCTCTGGCTCCAAAAGTGCACCCTGGTATTCACCAGCTTCCGTATCCAGGACAACACCCAGTGCTCAACAGGCTCCCGCGGCAAGAGAGAACCCGGAAGGAGTCCATTCAACGGCCGATCCGCAGACCCGCCGCCCGCCCGCCCGCCTTCCGTGTAGCACGCACCACCCTGTACTCTCAGCAGCCTCCGTCTCCAAGGCAACGCCTTGTGGTCAAAACAGCCTCCGTCTCGAAGACAGCACCCAGCACTCAACAGGCTCCCGCTGCAAGAGAGAATCCTTGAGGAGTCGACTCAAATCCCGACCCGCCCGCCCGCTCCCCGCCCGCCCGCCCGCCCGCCGCCCGCCCGCCCGCCCGCCCGCCTTCCACGTAGCGCACCACCCTGTACTCAACAACCTCCGTCTCCAAGACAACACCCTGTACTCAACGGCACCCGTCTCCAAGACAACACCCACTCAGCACCCATCACCCAAGAGCCTCCCGCTGCAGAAAAGAGAATCGTCAGGGTGTGGGTTCAAATCCCGGCCCGCCCGTCGCACGCCTCTATCGCCCGCCGCCCGGCAGCCCCCCCCGTCTGTCCGTGCATTCATCACATCATTCAGAGCGTGCATTACCTACCCCGCTTTCGCTTCCAGGCAAAACCAGGCCATACCACGCGCCTCCTCGTCAAGTGGCCTGACCAGTAAAGGCTGCAATTTGGCATCGTTTGGTATCTCTTGGAAGCGAGGGTGGTCAAAAGCGAGGTACATTTTTTTCCCTCTAATCATGTTCCTCTCCGTCCACCTCATCCGCCCCGTCCGTATACAGTAAGACAAGACTCTCGTCTTGGCACAACAAATCGGGGGATCTTGAATGAACTTTACCTGTATGTATATATATATACACACATACTGGACTGCAGTGGCGCTTCGCGCCATGCACCTTGGTCGTTGAAGTGTGGCATGGAGGCGGGATAGCAGGTAGGTCAAGCCGACAATTCAGCGATCTCTCCTTGTTGCTTTTTTTTCCGGCATCGTCGCTATAGTATTTTTGTTCCGCTATCCTTCCTACATGTTTCTTTTTATTTTTTCGCCATACACTGCGCATTTTCTCCATACTCCTCAGCTCTTTTTTGCGGAGGCTCCTCCTTGGAGAGCCTCTGGGGGCCTCACAAAAGTTGTTTCAGGCTTTCTTAAGGCCTTCTGGAAGCCTTCTGGGCGCATTCTGGGGGCATCTGGGGGCTTACTCGGGCCGCACTGCCTCCAACCGCGGTCTCCCTGAACGACCGGGTCACGATTTGAAATGCTTCGGATGGTGTCTTGGGACCATCTTTGACCGCCATGGGGCTCTCTGAGGTCCAACTTGGACCCGTGTTGTGCCGTTTTGGGGCTCTCTTGGATTGCTTGGAAGCCCTTTTCGGATGGTTGTGGGGCGATTTGGGAGCCTCCCAGGCGGCTTCGGACGCCCAGAAGACCGCCGTCTTGGAGCGTCGGGAAGCCGAAAAGAGGAGAACCCCAAAAAGTCACCAAAAACTTCAGAAAATCAATGATGTTTGCCTCTTGGGGCCCTCTTGGGAGTGCTCTTGGAGGCTTTTTTGGGGCCGTCCTGGAGGCCTCTTGGGCCATCTTGAGGTCACGTCGGTCACTCTTGGAGCGCTCTTGTGCTGTCTTGGGTGTCTCTGGGACGTCTCCGACAACCCCCCTGATCGCCCTAGGTGTGCTGGGAAGGCTTGGCAAACCGCCATGCGAGGCCCAGGGGGCCGCTTCGAGGCCCGTCCGGAGGGTCCCAAAGCCCCAGATCCCGGGAGTCCGTTTTTTTTGTTGGGGGGGGCGGTTTTCCCCCCGCCCGGGCCTGAAAGAATACAGAAAGAGGAATACGTACACGCATCTATATATATATATATATATATATGTATACACTGCCAGCCCGCAGAAGGATTGGCAATTTTCCCAAGGGTGCCTTTGCATCCTTGCCCCTTCGGCCCATTATTGGCTATTTTTGCTGGCCTCGCCCCATTCGAAAACCCTCGTCATGGCCTGTCAGGGTCCTTGCATCCTTCTGTTGCGTCCTTATTGTACGGGTTGGCTAGATGTGTACATATCTAGTTTAAACAAGTATCGATTATCAGTATGATGTTCCAACCTACCGCCTTGACCACCAGAAAGAAATTAAAGCACTAAGAGAGCACCGAAACTGGCGGCTTTTCACGTGTAAGGCCCTGGGAGGCTGTACTCGTTCGACGCCGTTTCGACACTTCTGCTGGGTGCTCGCCATTATTGCTGGGACGTGGTCCTGTAAGTACGACGGGAGCAGCACAAGGCTAGCCCCCCTTGCCCTTCTCTGCTTCCCTCCCCTCCTCGCCCCCCGAGAATCAGACCCTGAATTACCTACCCCGCTTTCGCTTCCAGGCAAAACCAAGTCATACCACGCGCCTCCTCGCCAAGCGGCCTGACCAGTACAGGCCGTAGTTTGGCATCGCTTGGTATCTCTTGGAAGCGAGGGTGGTCAAAAGCGAGGTAGGTTTGTTCGCCCCCTAATTATTGCTGGGATGTGGTCCTGTAAGTACGATGAGAGCAGCACGAGGTTAGCCCCTCTTTCCCTTCTCTGCCCCCCCTCCCCTCCTCTCAGGAGGGAAAGAAGCACACATACACAATTGTTGTCGCTTCGCGAATCCCCACCAGCCCATCCAGAAACGATGCCCAGAGGAATTGCCTCGATCAGAGAAGTGGGCAGCACACAGAGGAAGCCATTATGAGACATCTTGGGATATCTTGAGCCATCTTGGAGGTCATTTTGGGCTCTCCCAGACGCTCTTGGAGTCATCTTAATCCGTGCCCCCCCCCAAGAGGCCTCCATGTGGCTAAAACCTGTGTAGAATCAATGATTAGGCATTCTCGCCGAGGCCTCTTGGAGCATCTTGGGTGCATCTGGGGGGGCTCTTGGGGCCTCTTGGGGGTCTCTTGGGGGCCTCCGGGGGGCCTCTTGGGGGCCTCTTGGGGCCATTTTGGGGCCATCTTGGGACCTCTTGGGGCTTCCTGGGCGCTTCTTGGGGCCATCTTGGAGGAGATCGATCAAACAAGAGGGGGGGTTTAATTAGCGCCCCCCCTCGGAAGCCCCTAAAATCGCCTCTTGGACCCCTCTTGGAACGCTCTTGGAGTGCTCTTGGGCGCTCTTGGGGCCGTCTTGGGGCTCTTTTGGGGCTCTCTTGGGGCCCTCTTGGGCCATCTTGGAACCATCTCCAGGCCTCGGATGGCCATCGGAAGCGAAAAGGCGAGAAAGCAAAAATCATTGATTTTCCTTAGGTTTTGGGACGATTTTGGCCTCTTCGGGGCCTCCTTGGGGAGCTGTTTGGCCACTTGGAGTTATCTTGGGGCCGTCTTTGGGCTTCTTGGAACCATCTTAGGAGCCATCTCGAGCGATCTTGCGCTATCTTGAGCCATCTTGGAGCTCATCTTGGGTTCTCTGAGGCGCTCTTGGAGCCGTCTTGGGCCATCTGGGACGCTCTAACTACCCGCGGCCCCCCCCGTCCAGGTCCAGGGGAGGGGGTAGGGGGAGGGGTAAACCCCTCCCCAAGGGGGAAGAGGGAGGGGTGGAAGAGGATCTGCTCTAGACCACCTACGCCCAGAGGGCTGGTGGGATTAATCGTCGACTCGCAGGAAAATATGCAAAAATATGGGAAGTGGGGGGGAAGACAAAAACAAAAAAAATGCGAAAATATGGTGACTATTTTTATTAGTGTGTATTTATTTGTGTGTCTTGGGGCCCCTTCATCCTCGCCCCCCGAGAAGGCATGGACGACCTCCTGGGCGGCATGGACCTCGCGCCGGTGCCCCCGGCCGCGCAGCCGGGCGCCCCGTTCTCCCTCGAGCGGGACGCGAGGACCTCGACTTTCCTCCTCCTCCGCCTGCTCCTCCTCCTCCTCCTCCTCCTCCTCCTGCTCCTCCTCCTCCTCCTCCTCCTCCTGCTGCTCCTCCTCCTCCTCCTGCTCCTCCTCCCCCTCCTCCTGCTCCTCCTCCTCCTCCTCCTCCTCCTGCTCCTCCTCTTCTTCCTCCTGCTCCTCCTCTTCCTCCTCATCCTCCTGCTCCTCCTCCTCCTGCTCCTCCTCCTCTTCCTCCTCTTCTTCCTCCTCCTCCTCCTCCTCCTCCTCCTCCTCCCCGGGCCCTCACGGCCGCGGCGGCGGCGGCGGCCGCGGCGTCGGCAGCTGCAGCGGCCCTGAGATCCCGGCGTCTCGACTTTTCCGGGCCGGGCGTTGTCGCCCGGCTCTGGGCGCCGGGAGCCTCACGGATCGTCTCGGGTCGAGCAGGGCGGCGCAGAAGGGTGAGGTCCCAGGGGCAGGGGCCGCCCTGGGCCACGCGGCGGCAGCTGCAACGGTGGCGCCGGCGACGGCGGCGGCGAGGACCCAGATTTCCGAATCTCCGGCTACCTTTGTCACCACCCACCAAGCCACCCCAACCCAACCCGAAGGCTCAGATTTACCCTTTTTTTCATGTGGGGGGGGGTCGGGAAACATAGAAAAAACACATGTGGAACCCTTACCCCCCCCAACCCGAAATTCGGGTCTTCGGGTTCGGTTGGGGTGGTCTGGTAGGTAGTCACTTTGTTTTTCAGTATGTCACCACCCACCAAACCGCCCCAACCCAACCCGAAGGCCTCAATCCCACCAGCCCTCTGGGCGTAGGTGGTCTAGAGCAGATCCTCTTCCACCCCTCCCTCTTCCCCCTTGGGGAGGGGTTTACCCCTCCCCCTACCCCCTCCCCTGGACCTGGACGGGGGGGGCCGCGGGTAGTTAGAGCGTCCCAGATGGCCCAAGACGGCTCCAAGAGCGCCTCAGAGAACCCAAGATGAGCTCCAAGATGGCTCAAGATAGCGCAAGATCGCTCGAGATGGCTCCTAAGATGGTTCCAAGAAGCCCAAAGACGGCCCCAAGATAACTCCAAGTGGCCAAACAGCTCCCCAAGGAGGCCCCGAAGAGGCCAAAATCGTCCCAAAACCTAAGGAAAATCAATGATTTTTGCTTTCTCGCCTTTTCGCTTCCGATGGCCATCCGAGGCCTGGAGATGGTTCCAAGATGGCCCAAGAGGGCCCCAAGAGAGCCCCAAAAGAGCCCCAAGACGGCCCCAAGAGCGCCCAAGAGCACTCCAAGAGCGTTCCAAGAGGGGTCCAAGAGGCGATTTTAGGGGCTTCCGAGGGGGGACGCTAATTAAACCCCCCCTCTTGTTTGATCGATCTCCTCCAAGATGGCCCCAAGAAGCGCCCAGGAAGCCCCAAGAGGTCCCAAGATGGCCCCAAAATGGCCCCAAGAGGCCCCCAAGAGGCCCCCCGGAGGCCCCCAAGAGACCCCCAAGAGGCCCCAAGAGCCCCCCCAGATGCACCCAAGATGCTCCAAGAGGCCTCGGCGAGAATGCCTAATCATTGATTCTACACAGGTTTTAGCCACATGGAGGCCTCTTGGGGGGGGGCACGGATTAAGATGACTCCAAGAGCGTCTGGGAGAGCCCAAAATGACCTCCAAGATGGCTCAAGATATCCCAAGATGTCTCATAATGGCTTCCTCTGTGTGCTGCCCACTTCTCTGATCGAGGCAATTCCTCTGGGCATCGTTTCTGGATGGGCTGGTGGGGATTCGCGAAGCGACAACAATTTGCCTTCCATTTCCACGGAGGGGGGGGGGTCGGGGAACATCGAAAAACATATAAGGAGCCCATACCCCCCCCCCAACCTGAGATTCGGGTCTTCGGGTTGGTATGGGGTGGCCTGGTAGGCCGTCAGTAGGGCGCGTTTCCTAAACGTTTGCCCCCCAGGGTCATGAAACACGTATCGGGGACGGAAAAGCACCCCCCGGAAATTGGTTGGTACCTCTGTGGGGTCGCGTATTGACAGCATCGCATCCTCTGATGTTTGTGGAAGGCGGCAGCAGCTGACGGCGGCGCCGTCGGTGGTTCCGACGACGAGGGAGGAGCAAGAGGAGGCGGAGGAGGAGGAAGGTCTGGTAAAGGGATACTCTCCCTCCACCCCCATCCTCCTGGCGCCGGCCCGCCCTTCCCCATCCCCTCCCTTCGCATCCCCATCCCCCGTCGTACGTCCACCCTTTCCATCAACCCGAGATCTTCCCCCTGACTTCCGATACGTCTTCCTCGCCTCCCCCGCCGCCCCTACCCCCGCTCCTCCCCTTTCCAATCACTTCTCCTCCCCTGTCCCCTGCCCACCCCTCGGTCAAACCCCCTCTGTTCCTACGTGCCCCCCTTTCGAACCGCAACCCTTCCACTCTCGCCCGTCCCAAGTTGTCCCAACGCCCCAAGCCCCACCAGAGCCCTAATTCAGGCAGAAGCCTGTCAGGCAGATGGCCGAAGGTTCTGAGTTTGGCTGTAGCGGCTCGTCGGGCCCTGTAATCTCGTTCAGATTCGCTTCGCGGCTCGCGTCGCTCACTCACCCCCATCCCCCCTCCGCCCCCTCCCCCTTCTGCGCTTCTCCTCCCCGATCCCCCTGCCCATCCCCCCACGTCCACCCTTCCGCGATTCCCCTTCGCTCTCCGCCCCCATGCCAGGTCCATGCCGGCTCGATCGGTCCGACTCGATGTTGCCTTCGGCTGGCCCGACCCGACTGGACCTCGCCATCACGACGATCCGATGCGGCCTGATGTTTGCACGAGCGGCGTTGCGCATCCTGGCGCGACCGATCCGAGTCGGTGCTGCCTCCGCCCGATGCGTTCCAGCCCAAAGCCCTCGCCGATCCGATCCGACGCCCAGCGTTGCGATGTTGACCGCTCCGGCCCTCCCTCTCGCGGGCCGCTCGGGCGCATCTCGGGGGTGCCTCGGCCGCCAAGAGACCCTGCGTGCCGCCAGGGGGCCCTGCGTCTCGTGGGTTTCGATGGTCTTGCGATGGAAGGCGCAGTAACGTTCCCAGACCAGAAGTCGATGGACGTCCTGGGGTCTCGGTGTTGGATTTCTCGTGGAAGGTTTCTCTTGTGGTCGGCCCCTACTGAATACACTGGGGCACAATGCGCGTTGTGCCCTCCCTCGCCCCCCCTCCCTGATGGCGTGGAGCCCCGACACTGCCGCAGTGCGTCGGGCGCCACAGTTAGTCACCGTGGGGGGTGGGGACGTTGCGTTGTGCTCGCCCCGCCTCCGCCCCCTCGACCCCTCCCCATAACGCCCGCGACCGTCGCGAATTAGAAAATGCGTTCCATCTTTGACCATCGGCGAAAGACAACTCCATACCTCTGGCCGCCCGGCCTGGTTGGCCACGCTCCTCGGCGGCGATTCCATGGATCGGGGGCGGTTTAGCGCGCATGCCCCGCGCGGAACCTACGCATGGGGTCGCGCATCCGTGGCACCGTGCACAAAAGCCCAGAACGCGAGGCATGGGCATGGATACTTCTGTTCGTGGCTCGCGATTTGAGGAGAGCCCTCTCGGGCCCCCCCCCGTCTTCTCCAGACATGCAGTGAATTGGTCGGTTCAGTACGCGGTCTCAGGAAGTCCGGACCCGTTACCCAGTGCTGGTTTCTCATCCCGAGGTTCTCTTTGACGATCCCGAGGCTCGGCGGGGCCCTCTGGAGGCCGAAAGTGACCCAAAACCTCGCGTCGTGGTTTCTGGCCGCGACGCGAGCATGTCTGGGCCCCCCCCCCCGCCCACCCCCCCCCTGGACCTCCACGGCGGACCGCCCGAGAGGATGGACGGTGCCACCTTCGAGGCCCGCTGGTACCAGCTGCCCGGCGCGACGAACGAGAGCAGGCAGTGCCGGCCGGGCGTGTCGCCCGACATTGCGCAGGTGGAGGCTCGCCGCCGCCGCCGTCGCTATTGATCGTTGATCGTCAGTCGGCATCCTTGTCAGTCGTCGCCGCTCGATGCTGCGACCCTGCTACCCTTCCCCTCGTTTTCGCCTGTTTGGGCCCCCCTGGGTGGCCCTCGTCGCCACGGCTGGGATCGCGTCGCAAGTGTGGTCAGAATGCACACTGGGAGAGGTTCGAGGAGTCACGCGGTATCCGTACCTTTTGGTTTCACCAGCTCGTCGTCGATCGTTCGTCACCGCCGCCGCTGTCGAGGGGGATGGGATGGGGGGGAGCAGGATGAAGAGGAGGTGGAGGAAGGAGCAGGAGAGCGGAAACGGCGACGCAGCGAAGTGGAGGATGCAGCGTGCAAGGAGGGAACGGGATGAGGGAGGGGTGGAGGAGGACTAGGACGAGGAGCATGTGGGGTAAGAGGAGGAGGATCCTGCAGTACGTGCCAGCATGGACCGGTCGGAGCGCGCGGCGGCGTTCTGGTTCTCCCTGCACGTTCCGGCAGCGGGCGGGAACAAGGGGGGTAGACGGTGCCCAGAGAGGAGAGAGGGGCTGATAGGGAGGAGGAGGGCTGGGGGAGATTGACATTACAAGCAGACATTAGAGCAGTAGTAGCATGTGATTTGACAAGAGGTCTGATCGAGTGTAGTACCTGGTCCGTGCGCGTTCAGGGCTCAGAGTTTTTGCCATTCGACTAAGCAGTTGGTTCGGTGACAGCGCTGAAGTTCAGCTCCAGTTCCAGCCTGCCCCCTCCATCAGGTCACCTGCGCCACGATAGCTGCGCCGCGCGCGCCGCACGGCGTGCCGCTACGTCTCGGCAAAGGGCCAACACACCGTGTCGAAGTACCGGCCCCTGCTGATATCCAGGAAGATCGGCTCGAACGCCTTACTCGTGATGAGTAGCCAGTTCCACCTCGGAGCAGATTGGAAGCTCCCGGGCACGCTGCCTGAGCTCACGAAAATCATGCCACCCGGCTGGAAGCCGAGACTGCCCAAATACACGTCCAATCAGTTTCTCGAGCACGTTTATCTATGGTGGTGCATCACACCCACTAGCGAGGAGGCGTCCAGCCCGTTAGTAGCTTGTCGTCTCTCGGATCGGGCGTTCTAGGTGGCCATGGCCCGGAACGGTGAAGTGATCACTGGCGACGCGGCCGTCGCTCTGGCGAAGCAAGACGACAAGGTCGTGGACGGCGACGTCGCGGTGATTCAGGGGTCCGGCACCGCAAGTGTGGCTTATCTCATCCAGCGTCTCATGGATGTTTCGATATGTACGACCAGGACAAACAGTGCGAGTTGCTCGATATTAGGACGCGCAGAGGCGCGGCTGGTTTGTATGGTTCTCTTTGTAAACTCAAGCAGCGATTCCAGGAGGCGGACGGCAGGTCGACCGATCAATGCGATTACCGGCAGATTTGATGAATTTGCTGGTCCAGTGGAAAAGCCTCCCGCCCCGCAGGATAGCAGATATCAGGTTACAGAACAACTGTGACCTTGCAAAGTGCCGCTTTCCCAAACAAGTTTTGGCAGCGGGTTCGCATCAAATGCCAGGGCGAACGGCGGCGCCTACATTCACCCTTTCTACACCGACCAGAACGACAATGACGACTGCGCTTAGTTATTTGTACGCCGAGGACACGGACCTATATTGCATAGACTTTGCGGCGGGACGTGGTGGGGGGAAATATGGCGCATAGGATACCGAGTGCAATTCGTATGACCTGGGGGAAGTTCTATTAGGACGAGCTTGACCTCGACGAGCTTGACCTCAAATCAGTGGTCAGTGCCAAGTGGAGATTCAACGGACAACTGAAGGGAAAAGGCAATTAACGATTTCGTAGCGTTAAAGGTCGAGGCCGCAGTAGAGATGGGCGCGGCCCAGGACGGAAAGGCAAAGGACGTGGAGATGTTGGACGACGCAGCGCCGATGCCAACAATGGAGGCAAATGATTCCGCGGCCAGAACGGCGACAATATCAATGCCAAGACCGGCACGTTTGGATCGGAGTGGCATAGAGAGCAGGACTGCCTGGCCGAGCAGCGCAGTTCCGAGCGTGACGGCGGCGAGATCAAGAGCGGTTACATGCGACATGGTTTCAGTGGCCATCATCATCGGAACGGCGCAGCCAATTCCGCGGCACCTAGCGTCAGCACGCCGCGCGGACGACGCACTGCAGCAGCCCTTCCAGAGGTCTGGGAATGCCGGGCTCGGACAGGCCAGGTTCTTCAACCGCGGGGAGGTGAACTGCGAATCGACTTGGCCCCGGGATGGCAGCGGCACAAAGACAGAGGGCCACCCATTCGGTGGATCAGTTTCTTTGTTGCATATGAGTTGGCTGGGCAGCCCGGGTCGCAATCCGCCGCGGCCCAGTAGCAGCGGCGCCTATAATATTGCAGCCCAGACGCTGAAACAAGGAACAGCTTGGATTCGGAAGGGGCTCGATGTTCCCCCCGTCCTTCCGCGGTTGTTCCTCTAGCCTCTCACGCAAACCCGGGCCTTATTGAAGCCGCAGAGGCTTCGTTCCTTATGTCGCGTCCCCTATTTCAGCAGCTTGACTGCATCTCAAATGGCGGCCCCTCGACTGGGCCACGGAGCGCGACGTCTTCAGCCGGCGAGTCCAACGTCTCGCCGCCGCCGGGCGCGCGGCGCGGAGTCGGCGACGAGTTTCAGCGACGTCGCGAGTGGCGCGAGCGTGGCGAGCGGCGACCACCATCCCCAGTTTCTTTCTCCAGCTGGCTGCCGAGCCTCAGCGTTTCAGCTTCCTGAGCAATTGGCCTGGGCCTCGTTCTGCGGAGTCGCCAGAGGTATCTTGCTCAGCCGCGTGGAAGACGCGCTCGCAGCAATTCGCCGTCACTTACGGCACCGAAAGCGACGACGACTACGTGGCCCTCATGCCAAGGGCACGTGGGAACGGCACGTCTGGGCCCCATCGTCGACGCAGGCGCAGGCGGCGTGGTCGCGGCCACAGAGATGCGCGAGCGACTTCTATGGCCAGGGCAGCGGGGCGTGAGCCCCAGCAGCTGGAGCTCCAAGCTCTCGGACATCGACGGCGCTCCGAGCCCCCCGCTCGGTCGCGGCGCGACCCCGCCGAATGTTGAGGCGCTGCCTGGGAGCTCGTTCCCGATGGGCCACGCTGGATCTGGATCGCGGTCTCCCCGCCTGCTTCCCGACGGGCCCATCGCCGAGCTCGTTGGGTCTATGCGCGCGAGCGCCTGCCTTAAACATTCGCGTCTCCTGTGATCGGGCATCTTGCAGCCATGAGCCGGAAAGCAGCTTCTTGCAGCTTCGCTCTGCAGTTCGCTCGTCGACTCGGGCCGCTACCTTTTTCCAGTCGGCGATCCCTCGGCGAAAACTTGAGAGGAACCAGCGCCAATTCGGCTGGATGTGGAATGGCATGTGGAGTGCATCTACGACGCATAAGTGACGGCTCCAGCGCAGCTCGCAGATCGACGAGACTTGTCCAGGCCGCGGGCCAGGAACCCGCATTGCGCGTTCCTCGAGCTCTGCTTGGGCCGCGTCGAACACGACCCCGGCGGGCCAGTCGCAGGCGGCGCGAGTGAGCGAGGCTCGTAGCGGGTGCGACCGCGATCAGTGCGATCTGGCGATCTAGAGGCGCGACCCTACTCTCATTAGCAGCAGCAGCGCTTGAGGTTATAGAGATGCCGATAGGCGATCAAGCAGACGAGACAAACGCGCGTCAAGGTTGTTCGCAGCCGCGTGGACATGTTAGCAAGGAGCTCATTTTTAAGACCAGCCAAATCTATTAACAGCGCTGGTCATCTCCTGACGGCTCTCAGCGGAATGGAAAGGGTTACTGGTTTTCTGTCTGCGACGCTGATGGCATTCGTTTGTCCGAGAGGGAGTGCGGGCGGCCCCTGCGGAGTTCCACCAGCGGTGTCAGCCACCGATCATCGTTCCAGCCAGCGCGGCAGAATTGACCGAACGCGAGAAGGGTTCCAATGTGCAATTTCAAGACAGCATGTCTGGAAGCGGGCCCTTTCCTTTGGAGATGCTTACAGTTTGGGCTTCAAATGTCTTTCCTGGTCATCATCGGCTTATCTGCATCTTGGCAGGTGCAAGTCATCGGATCGTGCTCGCGGCGGCCAGGGCAACGCTGAGCTTCCGAGTTGCCTGGCGGGCCCTCGCTTGCGCCCCGTGGCCAGAGTCGGCAATGGGCGACGGCGAGATGCGCGAAGTCGTGCGCGGGGCGAATCGCCCCACTCTCAATTTGCGCTCGATGGGCGCCCAGACGGGACAGCATCGCGCGAACAACCGGGTGCCGAGACTCCCAGCGCCGGCGAGATTTGAGACAAGTCCAATCGGCAATGGCCCCATGTCTTGGCTTGAGGCAGGACGTGGGCGATCGCTGCCCACTCGGCGCCACCAATGACGAAGGCGAACCGCCCGGTAGAGCGCCAATTGCCCGAGCACTTCCGGCGCCCCAAGCGCGGCGTGACATTGCATATGCAAATTGCCTGATGGGCAGCTCTCCGGACGCAGCGACGGAGTTCAAAAGGCCGCTCGAGCGGCTGCGCGCACAAAGTTACCATTGGGCGCGATTGGCAAGGACATCCCGACATTCGTTGACCAGTCTGCCCTCGCCTTCAACTGGGTCGCTTTTTGTTTCGATCAGAGCGCTGGTGACGCTTGCCTCATCTCAGCTGTCCTGCCCGCGGTGCAAGCGCGGGTCCAAGTCGGAAGAAATGCGGTCGAGCTTGCCAGTTCAGTGCGAGTTGGCCAGCGCCGAGGCCCCCCATGAAGCATTTGCGGCAGTTCGTGCGTCGCCAGCGCAGGCCGCGGGCTCAGGCGACGCGGGGGGGTCGGCAGCGGCGGCCCCAGCTTTGGCGCCCGACGAGATCCTGATCCAAAGAGGCCACCAGCGCTGTCATGCAGGAGGCGCCCCCAGAAACCGTCCTGGACGATGGCGCGGACCTGGAACCTCCGGATGACTAGCCCGAGGTAGCAAGGTAGCGGCCGATGAACCCGAGATAGCCGC